TGCCGCTCCAGCCAGGCTGTGGGTGCCACCCGTGGGCTGCAGCACACCTGCTGCCCCCCGTTTTCTCCTTTTTCCCCTAAGCAATAAACCACCAGCACATCCAGGAGTTTTCCAGCCAGGAAGCCCTATGAGCACACCGAAGTAACAGGAGAAGATGAGTCCCTGGGGCTGCTGGTGGGAGCCGGGGCCAGGCAGAGCCGACGGGTCGGGCGGGGAGATACCAGCAGCGCGGGTGTCAGTGTCTCCTCGCTGGCCCTGACAGCTCTAATATCCATATTTATCTCAACTACAGAACTCCCAGCCCAGCTACATATTCAGCACCTCGATTACAGTTATCTGGAATGACGGTGACGGCTCCCACGGACGGGAGGTTAGTTTGGGCTTAATGCCATTTGACAGCCCCGGCGCAGCCGAACCGTGCCCAGCGCTGCCGTCCTGGCAGGGGGACGTGTCCCCCTGACACCAGTGGGACATGTCCCCTTGGCTCTAGTGGGACATGTCCCCTTGGCTCTAGTGGGACATGCCCCCTTGGCATCCATTCTGTCCGGCAGGGCACAGGCTGCCTGATCTGCCCACTCCAACGTGTTTCCATGCTCCTTTCCCAACACACTCTCACCTCCTCAGTCACCAGCGTTGGCCCAGCTCGGCTTCAGCATCTGCCTCCCCGTGTCCCCTCAGCTGCCTCCCACGCAGCCATCACCAAATCCCCACTGGATTCGCCATCACATCCTGGCAGGGAGGGACCCTGTAAACCAGGACTTCTTTTCATCCTCAAAAACCTGCCTGCAGGCTGAGACCCCCACCCTGGGCACTGGCTGCAGCCCCGGCCCTGGTTGTGCTGAGCTGCCGTGTCACAGCACCAGCAGTTCCCCGGCAAGCACCACAGGGCCAGCTCTGCCATGAACCCCAAACTCGCTCCTTCTGAAACCAGCTCTTTCCCAACTTTCTGGGGGTGCAGCAGAAGCCGCCAGCACCACATGGGTACAGTGAACCTCAGCCCGGCTCCCACAGGAGACAACGGCTTGTGTTACCTGGGGCAACAGCGGGGAAATTATGGCTGGCTTCTAAATTGCCACCATTATGCTCCAGAGCC